ATCAATGAGAACCAAAGAGAAAATTGTCTAATCGAAATCAGTGTTCTAAAATCTTTTAGAATAGAAAGAACTTGATCAATAATGATCACCATTATTATTCATTTAACTTAGATAGTAAAAGCTTTTAGAACAGAATTTATTTTGGACGTAATAAATAGAAAAAAAAATCACAGTAAGTTACGTATTAATCGATTGATTAGTCTTTGCATCATTTAACACTTCATTCAAGCTAAATAGATTCTCATTTTGTGGAATTCACATATATTTTAGAAGAAAACGATGGGTGTAATTTTTAAATCGAAGCTTTTAGATCCCCTCCTCCCTACATCCTGAGGGGGTAGTCTAGAAGGTAAAAAATACGTTTCACCCAGCAATAGGTGTATGAATGATCATTGCGTACAAATTCCCCTACCAACCATTTTTTGTAACGGAAAACTCTCTAATGCTACTGCAATATCTTTTATTTTATATCGAAGCACGTGAGATCCACATTTTTAGCTGCAAAGAAACAGGGGTGTGGGTGTGGGTTGAAAGAAGGTCCGTTCACACCATAGAAAATACATTATCTCAATCTCTATCGTCGCATAAGTACAAGAAAATATAGTTTGTAGATAAATAAATCTGGAATCGAATTCATAAATGCTGATTTTCTAAAGTAAACAAAGTGGCAGATACATAGATTTTTATCTATTCTATTAAACATGTCAATTGGATATATTAATTTTTATTTATTTTATTCAAACGATAGTTAATTTCCTAACAAAATTATTTTATTAAAGAAGGAAAATAGCAATAAAAATGTTTTGAATAGAGAAATGATTCATTAAGTGTTTTTTTGTTTGAATTGACTACAATTGAGTCGTGCTGTATCATTTGTAAAGTTGTTCGTAACAGTCACTAATTTTTCATATTGTATCACAAGTTTCTGAAGACATGGAACACATATGTAATTGCATGACGTAGAAATGGACATGTATTGTATAATATCAAATCAAAAGCAAATTAAAAATGATGACCATGAAAACTATTAATCACCTTATAAAAATCATTTTTCAGAACGTAAATATTTCTCTCTCAAAAGTTAGTAGTTTTTACTAAGTCTGTCTAGATATGTCATAATTGACATCAAAATTCAGTCGAGTTTCAAATAAATAATTGCTTTGAAGTAAACAAAATACTTGGAATATAACAAGATTTTCAAAAATGAAACATAATTAGTTGAGACGTATATTGTATATTATTCAATAAAGTTGCCAAAAGAAAACAAAATACACATTACTATTCCACCGTTGTGTTTCATTTATATTCGGATCTAACAAAATCTCAAATTCACAATAATCTCTGAATATGGCTATAAACATTCCTTTAGATCTTTAGATGATTATTTTATAGAAAATCAGTCTTTCAGACTAGTCAATTTTTCGTGAAAAAGTTTTTTTTATCTGTCTAGATTCTATAACATATCGAATCCCTTAGAAAATAGTAACGTTTTCTATTTCAAATCGTTTTTTGCAGAAGATACAATCATTTTAAGCCTCTTTCCCCTACAAAAAAATAGGTTTTAAGAATTTTCTATGGTTGGATAGTCCTTATTGTCTACTTTTGGAAACAGTATTATGTATCGGAATTCTGATGCTTTTGCATGGCTTTACGCAGGATTTACTAATCGTTTCTCTTCTAGATTCAGATTTTTAGACGCTATACAATTATATGGAAGTCTTCCTTCAATTCACCATAGCCGATAACTTATGATTGATTACAAGCAATGCGTTTCTTCTACCATTTTACTCTACAGAAACATCGATATTTAATTATGAACTTTGTTTGATATTTTTCTCAAAACGAGTTTTCTTTTCTACTTGTGCGTTTCATAATTTTCAGCCATTTACGTGCTAGGATGTTCAGAAGAGTTTTTAATTGAACAGAAAACTGTGTTCCACAATGTACCAGAGCCAAATATTTAGGGTGTGGGTGTGGGTGTAGATGTGGGTGTCGGTGTCGGTGTAGGTGTGGATGTAAGTGAAAAGACAGGAAAGTCCACCCATCCACATCCACACTCACACCCACATCAACACCCACATCATCATATTTTGAGAAAAAACTCATTCTTTTGGAAAAAACCTATCTTCCTTATAAAAAAATGATTTCTTTTGCAAGGAATTCTTTGTTGCTAAGAAGTTATTTTTTTGTGAAAAACTTATTCTTTCATAAAAAAAAGGACTTTTTTTTAAAAAGACGAGATCGAAATTTCGAAAAACTGATTGCAAATTCGGATTCCTACATCTCGATTGCCATTGGTGAAACTTCATAAAAAAATCGATATTTTCGAAAAAACCCTTTCCCTGATGAAAAATATCAAACTCAAAATTTTGAGAAACTGATTACAGATTCAGATTCCTCGACCTCCATTATCTTCGGTTAAACTTTATAAAAATTCGTAATTTTTAGGAACACAAAAGTGACACCCCTAATTCAGCATATTTATACAAAAATCGATAGAAACAATTAATTTTATTTCATACATCATTTACGAATCTTTGATATTATGATTTCGTATCCTTCATATTTGACTGAAGATATATTCCATTATACTTATCTTATCGATTGATTCCAGTCTCAATTTCCAAATATTACTGAGCTTATTATTTCATGTGTTTATGAAAAACAATACTAAGACTTTTCTAACCAGTTTTCGTAATATTATTCCATTGAAACAACTTACTAAATTAGTCATTTATATATACGCTAATAATTTTGTAGAAATAATTGAACTATTACTTTTTTCACCTAATACTCATACGTTCAAAATTGATTATGTATCACTTGAGTATTTATATTTATAATCAATTGAAAGTAGTGCAACATTTCAATTATTATCATGCTTGAGTATACATTGGAAATAACAATATGTTTTGTTAATTTATGTTCTCAATTACAATATCTTACAATGAAAATTCAGAATGGTAATCTTCAACTAATATTAAAAATAATTTATTTTCATTGTGTATCAAAAATATATCTGATGAAAAATTTGACATATTGAAGAACTTTATTGTACTAGAGATAGTGTTCGATGTGTATTTATGATGGCAAAATGGATTGTTAATAAATTGTTTCATTCTAAAATATTTATCACTTTTTAATAAACAAGAAAACTAATATTATTAAATTCTGTATATAAAGTCTTTCATGAAGATAAGTTACTCTATGTGATTATCTTAAAATTTATCATCATATGAAAATTGTGGAATTGATTTTATAAGATGATAAAAGCAATAATATTAGCCAATATCACGACAATCCATGATGTTATCTAGTGTTATTTTTTTTCTTCTTCTCTTAGAAATCTTTGATAATAAACCATTGAACTTAACAGAAATTGTTTTCCTTATATTGTTTTAATATATTATCATCTCATTTTGAATACCAAAAGTATGAGCATGTTTCTGTAAATCAATAGAAAAATGAAATCTAGTTTAATGTTTACTGATTAAAACGATAAACTATTCTAAAGAATCAACTTGTTCGAATAGTATATGCAATTAAGAAAAAAAATGATCCTAGTTGATAGAACAAGTCAGATAGGATTTATTTATTTTATCACAGGACTTTAACCGATTAGTCATTCGCATCTGACTTCTAACAGTAAATTTGCACTTAACTTACACAAGAGTCTGATTTAACATTTCTCATACCTTTATAAAAAAAATTCTAGGTTGAAGGAAAACCAGACATTTCTGTAGTAAAATGACTATTTGTACTTTAATTTTTATTGCCCATACCCAAGCAGACAAAGACCTTCAAGAGAACACGTTTAAATGCATTAAGAAGGCGTAAAGTCATTAAAACGAATAGTTTTTTTTCGAAAAACACAAATATCAATGTGTTCATAATTCTCAGTATGTTACAATGCGAAAATTTAAGTTGAAAAATCAGTTTTGTTTTTCATTTTTCTTGAGCTGATTTTACCGTGTCAACTGATTTACTTTCTTAATTACAACGAAATGTTCAATATTTTCTACTTGAAAAATGTATTTTTTATTAGATCTATGTTAAATTTAACACTGATATGACTCAAAAAGGAGACAATAATTATTCTGGAGCATATCAATAGTATGATAAAGTTATTTGATTTTTGAAACGTAAATTTGAAAGTACTCCTTTTTAGTAGATACAAAAGATTCATCAGAGACTGAGCCTTTATGTTGAAGATAATAAAGATATTTGATCTATTCTTTTACTCGCAAAGCAATAACTATCATAATATACAAAATTGTTTTGTGCGACTGATTGGAAAAACCCAAAACTAATGATATATCTATTTGATAATTGACTTTATTCAATCAACATTTTACCTTTTCTTATCCAAAGTTAGTCAATATGCATGCTGTGTTTTCCTATATGCAACAGAGAGTAAAAAAATTGACAAGACTGCAGTAAATGTAAGAATATTTTCCTTCTTTGATATAGTTTCTTTTCATACTAGATGATCATGATAAGCTACCACCTATTATTAGAGATCATTTCAAGATTTGGTTATAAAAATTTACCACATCATTCCATCCTTTTTTCACTTTCGTTTCTCTTTTTCTTGTCTATTTGTATTTCGTTTCAATCGCAAATTTCTTATTTTGAGATATTACAAGTAGCGTCTATCTAATGATAGACCGAGTCCCTTTTATGAAATTATCTGAGGTTTGTATGCATTGAAAAATACTGTAGTCTTGATATGGGCATAAAGATTTCATCCTGTTGATAAAGACAATTAATAATTTTCGTTACAAGAAAGAGTGTTGATCTTTCGATAGGTATCTTCTGCAAATGTGCATGATTTTGTAGGAAATAGGTTGTAAAACTTTTTGCGAAGTCATTTTTATTACTAAAACAAACTTTTTTTTTAAGATGATGGTGAAAAGATAAAGGTCATAGACTTCGATGAAATAAATTAAACGAAAAATTTTTTTTCGCATAGTCAATGTTCAAAAATTAATAGATAAGAATCATATAGCTTTTTTCAATCGTGTTGCATTTTTATCAAATACTTGGCGTACGAGCACATATGGACTATTTTCTATTATTATTTCAACTTGTTGTTCTAAATCACTTGTAGATAAATATTTATTTTTTATTTCTTCATCAAAAGCATCTGCCATAATTCTGTTGTCTATGTAGATGGTTTCATCAAGGCCAGATTCTAAACAGGGAAAATATACATGTATTTCAAAATAATCTGCCATACTCAATTTAATCGTAAGTATGATATCATTGACAACTTTGCAAGCATCTTTTTGCTTCGCCATTTTACAAGAATCACAAATTATAACATTTTTGTTGGTATCGTTAATGTCCATGTTCTTGTTGTATTTTCCACATTTTAATGAATTACGTTGAATTTTCACACACTTCATAGAAATCGTCTCTACAGATTCTTCTGTTAAATTCATTTTTTCCATTGCATCAATTTGTTTATCATTGATTTTGAATGTCTATGGTGGAGAAAGTAATTTTGAAGGTTTTGAATGATAGATAGATATTGAAGGAAAATATTTCTATTCAATCAAAAGGAGCGATTGAAATGAATTGCATATGCTTTTTACCTAAGTAAATAGCTGAAGTTCAAGAATAAACAGGTTTTTTAACCTAGTTTTTAAGTATCTCAATTTAAAAACGTGTATCTGTATTGCTGTCTTTCACATTGATTATTTTTATGTATGTATTTTTATTTAACATTTGTTTGAAAAAAAATGAATGATATCGAAAATGAATACCTTTAAAATAGTTGTTATTGGATCACTATTTTACTTATACACAAATGTGCATAGAACAATGTTCTCTGATTGGTTAATTATCTTTTAGGTTATCTATGATGTGTAGTTTTGATTAATCTTTTCCATTAATGGCCACTTTAACTTGCTTTTTATCATAATTTGCTTTCATATAAAATAGGATAAGACTACGTGTTTAGTTTTTTTCAACACCATCTACACACTTTTTTGTCACTTGTCAATGATATCAAGTTCAATATTTCAAACTAAATTTCAGCTCGATTAATGAGAGACTTTTTTACATCAGTTATAACTCATATCAGTTCGTTGCATAACGTGTTTATATGAATTATGTGATGTTACAAGGATAATTTCGCTATTTAAATTAATTGTTTTGATATCTGTCATGCCATACCAAATGCTTTGTTCAAGATCACACTTTGAATGTAGTCATGCTATGGAAGATCCATCTCCAACAAGATAGAAGCCGATCTTCTTGTCACCGTTACTAGTACTTTTCAAGCCTTTTCTTTTTAAAATGAGTACTTCAGTTTCAAATTTATTATCTTGTTCTGTAGGACTTTTTTTGATGTTACTAATTTTTGTTGGTTTTAATTGTTTACAATGATATTCAAAGTTTGATTTTTCAATGAATGATTGGAATGCTTTTTTCCATGAGCCAGTAATATGTAATACTGGGTCTCTTGCTGCAGAAAAGACTAATTAGAAGATTCATTGTTTGTTAAACTTACTCAAACCAACACCTTTTTTTATTATCAATTTGAGTGCAGTTTTTTTTGTTTTCTGCCTCTTTCATTTTAAGAAAAACTGACTGCATATTTACATTTTTTTCATTACCCCATATTCAGACGCAATACCACCCATTTTCGCTTTGCGGATGACAATTAGCATATTGTTTTTCCTTGACTTTGTTTCAAATTGGCGTCATCGCTGTTACTTTTTTCTTGTTGATGATTATCAGGTTCACAAAGATCATGTACATATGCAATTAACGTGAACTGGTTGTTATTATCAGAGATGGTAAAATCACTATCTTCATCAATGATATTTGTAGTCATATCAATCGAAATACTGAGTAATAGCACTGCTAATTAATATTACGCACTATCATCAAGATCCAATTCGAATCATTGATTAGATTTTTTATTTTATTTTATTTCTCAAACAGAAATGAATTTAAACAATAGCGCATTCATTTTCAACAACAGAAAATGCGCGGATTTTCAAATTCATTATCAATATGTTGAATGTAAATAACAATTAGTTTTTTTTTCTCAGATTTTTCAAACTATATAATAGAATAGAACTATTTTATTAACTCGTTATTTAACATATAATTGAATAGATAATATGAGTGAGCAACTAAATGTTTTAGCACATAAATACATGATACATTAAAAAAAGAATCAGTTAGTTGACAACGAAAGAAACTTCAATTGAATATTCAAAACATCTACATTTTGAAAAAAATCATTGAAACAATAATCACAAAGAGATCGGCTATACACCATAGGCTTCTGTGTTAAGCATTCATTATAGTTCTTTGAAACAAACCAGCTGAAACCACGACGCATATATTGAAGACAACGATCTAAATGATACGGTACGTCGCGAATATCGTGTGTGGGTTTATAACAAATAAAAGACTTTGTTCGTGCTGCTTCAAAGAATGCTAACGTACACACGACTTCGGTACCAGTGAATGCCAATTGTACAACATCAATGTCGAATTGATTGAGAACCTGTGAGATTGCAAATTTTGCTCTTGAGAAAACAAATTGCACTTGTAATTTTTGGCATGATTCAAGTTTAAGCAAAATTTCAATGACATGACTGTATTTTATTTATTTCATAATTTTTTCTTTCACATTCACCCGGAACTTATTTACTGTATTGATGAATTTGAAATAACTTTAGCCAATAACAAAAAGTCAATATCTTGATTAACTTGATTGAACCCTTGTCGCAACATACGTTGAAGTACAGATCCTCCTTTAATGAAACGAAAAGATGGAATTAATAGTTGATTTTTATATTTAATTATAATGAATACTCTCAAATAAAAATACTCGTTTTCGCCAGTTGATGCACATCTCGCTGAAAATGATAGTCAAAATTAAACATTTTTGGGCTAGGCGTTGTTAAACATGCTGCATTCAAGGTTTTTGTTACTGATTTATCTAAGAATTGTACGATAGTACAAATAGACCACGTAACTATATAAATATCTTACTTGATACTGAAATTAGATGCTCAAATACTGGATTGATACAATCTAAATCTTCTTTAATAATATCTTCAAGATAACTAATTATATTATTACGGCAATTTTCATCTTTAATCCTGGATCTAAGTTGTGGTGGCGTCATATTGTGATTCATCCAGAGTAACATATGAAGATGAAACGATTCGCGTCCTTGATTTTCTACTATACCGTAGTAATCAATAACTGATCCAGAACACCTTCGACAACCAAAATATTATTCTTTGAGTAAGACGAAACAATTTTTTCTTACGGAGAGTATCGATGATTGTTTGAATTAATTTATCAAAGAATTTCGCAATAGCCACTGGATGTATTGCAACCAGTTGTGCACGATCATATCTCGATGGGTATTCATCAGCAAGTATTTTATCCAAATTCTGGTTTACGCCCGTAAAATATATAGCAATCTAAACACTCAATTATCAAAAGGAACAGCGATTAACTGACTTACAGGATGATGAACATCACCCGGCTTTATAGTAATAAATATACTTGGAAGATCAATATTATATATAAGTGAATGAATTTTGACTCGAAGTAGTGTTCGTGATTGTTGAGATCCCATAACATCGCCACCAAAGACGTGTATTTGTTTAAGAAGTGTGTCAAGACGTTCATTTTTAACTGCTTTATATCTTCTATTTTCAATGTTTTTTAATGCAAACTGTATTTCATCTTGTGTAAAACACTCAATCTTTTCTGCCGTACTGACAAAATAAGATCTTGATACCATCAATCGCGCACTGTAGCTTGCATTTTTCTTTTGTAAAATGTTAAAGACAACATATAAAAACGAATGGCTGGTCTCAAATCTCTTATCTTTAATAGACAACAAATATTGAATATGTTCTTTATACCCAATATGGATCGATCTCGTTGAATCCTCGATGGTGCCGCATCCATATGGAAAAAGATCCGGACATCAACTTATAATGTGTGTTGGATTGGCATATTAATTCACAGGTTTAGCTTCTAGAGTTTTCGCATAAACTTGATCTTTAACATTATCACATGAAAGCTCCTTTGATTTCACTGAAATATTTTATCCACACAAATATACAATAATAAATTCATACACGAACTATGAAACCGAATAAAATCAATCATACCTTCTTGATTCGTATTATCTTCATCTTGGTTCAAATACATTCGCGATGATAAATGATTTCTGATATTGCATGATGATATATCAGAACAATTTATGTCCAAGACACCGCTTGTCATCAGAGAAGTTACATTAAAATTAGCACATCTGTTTAATAACTCTTTGTTATATATTCCATTCTTCGGAATATAATCCGATTGCTCGATTTCAGCGTTCTTAGCATCTGTCAAATGGTGAATTGTACTTCACAATGACTCAGGTACATCATCTTCTGACAAATCATTGACTTTTTCCAAACTGATTTGCTATGTCAATGATAAAGAATGTCAATTATATCATATTGAAGAAAAGTATTAACTCACAGTGTCTTGATATAAATGATTATGGTTTCTCAACCATAATAGTGCAGCAAAGACCTTTTCTCTTCGAACAGTGAGAACTTTTCGCAAATCATATCATTTTGGTGGCTATATTGACAATAAAAAACGACCAAAAAAAAAGCAATAGAATTTACTAAAAACTTTTACCTCTAACCAACAAAGACAGCTTTGATCTCACTACATAAGTCGGTTATGGATAAAGGTAATGTTGATACAATTTTAGGTAAATGTTGAACAAACGTAATGACATTTCCCTTGAGCGCTGATTGAGCACTCACGGAATTATGAAATATTGATTTCAATTTAATAATACAACTATTATGTCGGTACCTTGCGATAAGCCGTAATTCTGGTATTCTGAGATTTTTTAATTCTGCCAGAATATCGCGGTCCACATTTTGTTACCAGCAGAGTAACGTGGAATTCTGTTTTTCTTTAAATCCATGTTACACCATTTTCAAATTATCATTTCAGTTGTCTCATCAATCTGCTTATTTTTGTATATTTTCACTCCTTGTCGATATAATAACATATTATTGTAACGAATATAACTCGTAGTAAGTATATTATTTTCTGAATTGAATCTTTTCATTTTATCTAGATAAAAATATTGTCTTACTTATCGTTATATCTTTCTGGTGCATTTATTTGCATATTCGAAATCCAGGTATGACATTTATGAGATCTGGACGTGGCTCTAACAAATGTTGATTGGAGATGTCACTAATTTTGCATACCATAATATTAGTTTTGTACGTATTACAATAACATATATAACAGGTTTCATGTTCCAAGGAATTCATAGACGTGGTTTTTATGAAATTATGTAGGCACCAATTTTTGACTTCATTTGATATCGTTGTCGGCCATTCTATATTTGATTTAAACATATGGTTATCTTTTACCTATTTCCATAGAAAATTCATCTATACGTGTTAAGACTTTATCCTAACATAGATTTACTTTATCATCCATCAATGTGATTGATGCTCTTTCTTCTTCAGTTTTTATATGTTTAATCTGTGCTACATCATCGCTACATAAACAATCATCTATACTAAGGTGCTTTTTGTCTTTGCAAGAATTCTTCTAAAATTATTTTCAATTTTAAACTTTTTAAAAATCTAATATCAACCTTGATGAAAAGTGATGGTCGTTCTATTTCACTTTCTTCTGCTTGACTATTTATTTTGTATTTATTGTTATAATTCTTCTTCGCACGACTATTGACCGTACATTCACGATTTCGTCGAAATCGAATGCAATATTCATCGTCAGTTTCTTTAGCAAGTCTTTTGGCTATGCATCTATGATTAGTTTTCAGACGACGTTCTCTTTGCTCAATCGTTTCATATTTTCTTCGTTTTCTTTTTCTTTCTCGTTTAAGACGCAATCGTTTTTATTGTTGTTCAATTGTTTCATTTCTTTCGGATCGTTTAGAAAACCGTTGTTGCTTAGTCGAAGTATTTGAGTTTGATGCATCAGGCTTTTCTTCAAAATGCATCATAGAATTTTCACATCATTTCCAAGACCAAGAACAGTAAATCAATATATTTTCAATATATTTGTTTTTCTTTATATATCTCAGTATTTATTTTTATACTATTTACGTTTTCCCGCCTGGTAGACACATATACAAATTTATTTAAAATATTTCAAACTGACTTTCTTCGTAAGATCCTTTCATTTCATAAAAGAAAAAAAGTTCACGGCATTTTCCCTAACGATATATCTTTGCAACTACTTGAGCAATTTTAACAAATAAATTCTTCTTTGTAAATTGTAGAGCTTTTCACGCTGCATCTTGTGATATATATTGTTTTTTAATACAACGTATTAAGTGATGAAAAATTGAAGCGCAGAATGCGGCCGTTTAATCTGTTCCATCTGTTATTTTTTGAGAACAAAAAACGCATGTTACAAACTTTCTTTGTTGATGTTCTTAGTTCTTGAGCTAGAACATTTATTTTTACACAATAAGTGCACTTTGAAATGTTCTTTAAAATGACTATTTATTTGTTGAAATTGCTTAAGTAGTTGCAAAGATATATCGATAGGAAAAATGCCGCGAATTTTTTTCCCATACCTTATTTTTCTCATATGATTTAGTATATTGTTTCTTCTTTTATAAATGGTATCTAATAAGTTTTTTCAGAAGAGTCAGCTAATATTCACAGCATATATACTCGACATCTATATCTACTCTACGCTAGAATTTCATCTTTCTACCTCTTATAATTAGAGAGATACAAGTAACTTAATATTCAAAGAAATTTTTTTGTAATAACTAACGAGTAAACCAGAATAAATGGCCACGTTTTGTATTTCATTTTCTCATCAATTAATACGTTTTTACTGAAAAACAAAATGTACCATAAGATGCAACACAGTGAAGCTTATTTTAATTGTGTACTATTTTTTTTAAACAAGCGAAGTTCTATGGGACCTATTTTCGACGCTAAGAAAAGTAGTCGCATATTTTTTTGAAAATAAAAATTACACAGTTAAAATACGCTTTAGGGTCTAGATTGTTGACTTTTTCACGTTGAATCTTACGGTATATTCTGTACTTTTTTAAGAAAACGCAGTAAGCGATAAAAAGATGAAATAAGCAAGAAGCGATTACTCATTCATGTAGAAACAGATTGTCTTTATGAAGCGGCGAAAATAGGTCTCATATAATTTTGGTGTTTTTCAATTAAAATAAGCTTCACTGTGTTGCATCTTATGGTATACTTTATTTTTCAGTAAAAACGTATTATATGGTGAGAAAATAAAATCCAAAGCGCGGTCATTTATTCTGGTCCACCTGTAAGTTATTTCAAAAAATTCCTATGAATATTAAGTACTTGTATCTCTGTAATTATAAGAGGTAGAAAGCTGAAATCCCAACGTAGAGTAGATCTAGATGTCTAGTGCACATGCTGTGAATATTAGCTGATTCGACTGATAAAACATTTAATAAAATAATATTACTTAAGGAAAATCAAAACTTATTACACACCCTTTATAGTTAGTAAGGATGTGAGTTAGTTCATAGAAAGATATTCTTATATCTTCTAGAGTCATAGAAATTCTGTATTCCTAATGAAATGAATGAGAACAGTTGATATCAATAAGCTATATCTGCTATACTTTTTGGAAAAATATAATTTTGTCTCGGAAAAAATGATGAAAATGATCTCGTTTTTTACCAAGTACAAAATAAGAAAAAAAGATCGCGGAATAAAACTCATTAACATTGAAAGATGGAAATTAGAGAAGAAGATCTCGGTTTTTTCTACATGTATATGCTCATGTGGTTATATAGAGATCAGTGTATATGATGAATAGAAAGAATGAAAAGAATATTAGCAAATAGTTCATCTAATCACATGTTGAGTGATTGGTCAATGGAAACAGTACAACATTCATGTTAAAGATATTTAAACATGAATGCTGATCTGCACATTAAAGCTTATGATTGCACTTATAAAGTTGATAGAAGTGAAATATTACAAGTAGATGCATTTACATTTGTAGTTTGAGCAGCAGAGCCCCAAATGAATACTAGCGCTTGGGTACATTATTTTTATTCCATGTCTTGGTTGTCATATGATTATTTCAAATAGTGGTTCGACTCTGCACGAATTTTAAATTTTTCTAACATATGACCTCCAATATTCTGTTTCTGTAAAACAATCTGAAATAATATTAGTGTATCCATTCAATAGGCCTTATGATGATCTGGAGAGTTCGAACAACTCCACAGTTAACTGGAAAAAGAAATGGCAAAGGACGAAGAAAAAAAGTAAAATAAGCATTGTCGAGGGACTGATTTTGTAGAAACATTGTCTTACACATTTTTTATTAGATATTAATAAATATAACATGATTAAGGTATTTTTTATCAGACCTGCCACCTTGTCTGCTTTTATCAGAAAAATTCTGCTTTTTTTCTTTCCTTTCTGTTTTTCTCATTTTTTTCTGACTTTTTAATATTGTGCTTTTTATATTTTCATTCAATATTTTATATTCGAAAGAGTGTTTAAAAATATAACGATAATTCTTATGAATACTTCGTGGTGCCTTTGATCTATTCGTTTTTTTATAAATGATATCGTAGTAGTGAAGGTATGTGTGGATGAAAAAGAAATTGATGATGATTATTCAACAGGCAACAAAGTGATAAGATCTGATCAGTTATAGATGTTCTTATTTGCTTTCACCGAATAACCAAATTTTAAGAAGCTCATTTGTTTTTTATATTCATTACCTTGCAGTAATGCTTATATCGAATCAACATTTTCTCAAATGAAGCATTTAATAAATGATAGAAGATTTAGTATGACAATGGAGCTTATATCAGCTGAATTCAAAATACGATAAAATTCTACCTTATGGTGTACTGAATTATATAAACATATATTAGATAGTGAAGAATTATAAAAAGTCATCAAGTCAGATGAAAACTACATACTTAAAAAAAATATTCAATCACTATATTTATTTGTGTAACTGTTTTTTTTTCTTGATTTTAGTCAATAAATATCAGATTTCTTTGTAAAAATTCATTGTTATAATAGTGAATCAAAACTTAAACATATCCTAATATCAAAAATATACTTTCTGCTTTTTTACGATAAAAATTCTGTCAATTTCTGCTTTTTGAAAATGATTTTCTGCTTTTCAGAATTTAAAAGGTGGCAGATTTGTTCTTTATCACTCTCTATTCTGTTTAACATATCCAACCGAGATCTTTTTCTCTAGTTTCCACCTCTCATGTTAATGAGATTTTCTCCACAATCTTTATTTCTTTTCTTTATATATGGTTAGATGGAGCTTGATGAGCTTATCAAGAATATATATGTTTTACTCCATTTCTAGTGAATTTAAGGGAAAATTATCTCAGCTTCTTTCGATGACCCACGATTTCTAACAAAAGAGAAAGAAACACATTTCTTTTTCGATAATCGACGAATTTTTGATTCTTTTCGCTTGCTTCAAGTTTTGAAGGTGTATGTTTCAGATTCAGCATAAAGTAATTGAATCGAGGAAAGTCATTTTTGAGGCTATTCAGATATAAAATGATGATAATTCAGGTTAGCAGAAAAAAACTGAGTCGACCTATACATGTTTCAAAACTTTCTAAAAAACTTCTGTTTTTTTCTCGAAAAGTTTCTCCCTAGTCTTCGCAGGGCTAATCCAAAAAGTTGATTCGCTCAAAATGTCGCTTTTGTCAGTATTCATCTCTCTTATTGGATTCTATAAACATGCCATAGATGTACACCTTGTTTCCATAGTCAAAGTGCCATTTTAAACAAATCGATTTGTTGACCTAATCCTGGGGAGAATCAGGGAGAAAATTTTCGAGAAAACCAACAGTTTCTAGAAAGTTTTGAAACACATTTAGGTTGACTCAGCTTTTTTACTGTATCTGAAAGACACAGCTTCAAAACTTGAAACAAGTGAAAAGAATCAAAAATTGGTCGATTATCGAAAAAAGCTGACATAATTTTCTGCTAAAATTCACCAGAAATAGAGTAAAACATATACACGGTTGGAAATAATATTTTTTCAGGGGGGTACCGCCATAATTTTAAATAGAAGACTTAATGAATTTTATATCAAATGAAAACTCGTCAAAAATGAGGTTTATTGGTATTAAATAGTGAAGGTTATGAAACCTTTTTAATATCGAATTTAAGAAATTTTCAGAAATTTTATACTTTTTTTGGGGGTGAAAAATGAAGGTGCCGGTAATTCAAAAACCAACTTGGAAAATCTTAAAAAATGTTAAAAATCCTCATATTTTTTATCTGGAAGAAAAAAACTCAATTTTTCAATAAAATTAGCTTTTTTTTTTATTATCTTTACTACCTTTGGCGTGTTGAAATATACTCATTTAATGCAGCATGAAAAACTGCACCAAATGAGTATATTTCAAAACGCCTGAAGTAGTAAAAATAATAAAAAAAAGCTAATTTTATTCAAAAACTTGAGTGTTTTTATTCTATATAAAAAATATGAGCTTTTTTAACATTTTTTAACATTTTTCAAGTAGGTTTTTGACTTTTTCGTCGCAAAAAACGACTTAAAATTTTTTTAATATGTACAGTTTTGTCGAGTTCAACGAGCTCTATTGAGCCATGTAATAATATCTAAGAAAAAAATTCACTCCGTTTTTGAATTACCGGCGCCTTAATTTTCCATTCCCAAAAAAAGTATAAAATTTCTGAAAATTTCTTAAACTCGATATTAAAAAGTTTTCATAACCTTCACTATTTAGTACCAATAAATCCCATTTTTGACGAGCTTTCATTTGATATAAAATTCATTAAGTCTTCAATTTGAAATTATGGCGATACACCCCTGGAAAAATATTATTTCCAACTCTGTATATTCTTGATCAGGTCATCAAGCTCTATCTAATCATATATAAAGAAAAGAAAAATATAAGTTCTCCTGTAATTTTGCATTATCTGTACCTTACTCGACAAAAACACGAGATCATTTTCATCATTTTTTTTTCTACTAATTAAACACTCCGAGATTATTTTTCTAATTTTTCCGAGATCGATTTTGCATCGTCCATTCTTTTTTGTCGAGCGATTAAAAAAAGAATAAATGTTATTCGTCTTTAAAATTGTTCGTTGACACCACTGAAGACAATAAAAAGAAGATTAATAATAACTAGCGTATAGTTGTTCATCAGTTCTATGTAGTCGTAGATTAGTCTTAAACAAAGTATAGAAATAAATTTCATTCTATCTATTTGTGAGTTACTTTCCATACAGGTGGATATGTTTCTAGAGGTTCGAGTTTTTAAACTAACTGATATGTATAATGAAAAAGCAACAATACTATACTTCAAGCTTTGTTGAGAGATGACTATGATGATTTGGCTGTTTCCGTTTCATTCCCATTCTTTATCACTGCTATGTAGATTAGATTTTATTATCTGTTAATGCATTCCAAACTATACCATTAGAATTTTCTCATAATTCATTTAATTTTTCGAATATGAATTACAAAAAAATGTTACTGCATAGTTTGGAAAAGATTAACGAATAACACAGTCGTCTATCTAACAGCAATAAAGGATGGAAATCAAACTGAAATAGCTAAGAAATTATCATGACCATCTTTCAATGAATCGTGAAGTACAAAATCATTGTTTTTCATTAAATAGATCCCTTAATGTAAAAAATTGAACGTATAAAGACACGTTTAAATTGTTAAATGATTTTCAAATGGTTAAAAGTGCACATTTCAATGCTTTATGAACGCGGAAAAATATTTAACATCGTAAAACCACGTTGATATATTTAATGAAAATAATTGCATAAAACTGCACGTTTTTGCTAGTTATTATGGGTTAGAAATTCACATGATAAAAAATTCGTTTGAAAGTTTTAACGCATTCTTTTTATCGATTCTGTCAACCTAGGGACAGCCAAATGCACTAAGCAACCTCTAGAATGCTACAGTTCTATGGGCAAAAATGTGTATGTCGCTTCTTTTTCTGTCTTGCTTTTGCTCAACCTTGGAGACTCACAGTTTGTCTTCATACACTCATCATCGACGTTCTCTCAGTCCTAATGAAGTGGCGTATGCCAACATTCTTCTTTCAATATTCATTAGAACACAGTCATTATCTTCTTCATGTCAACTCAAGATTGGAAAAAAAGGCAATCAGTAAAATGGCATGCTAGATGTTAGTGTCTTTTTTTTGGCGGTTATAACAGTGCAACCTGTAACCATAATATATATCCATCCAAATGGGCAAAACTCATGTATTCATTTTAGAATTGCTTTACCATAATAATAGGATGTCTTCTCCTTCTACTTCTTCTTCGTCGACAGCATCTACCATCATTAGCGAAACCGGGGTGGACCTGTTACTAACAAACATTTTCACATTGATCAATTCGATTTTAGTTTGCCTGTATTCATTTCTGATTCTCTTATTATTTGCATTGCGTTATCATCATTGGATAAATAAGGAAATATCTCTAATCCTTGTCTTAAATACCTATTTATCTATATTCATCTTTTCTATAATTTCACTCACCATGAATGTTGACACGCTGATGGGTGATTTTCATCTCTTCGATAAGCGAAAAGAGGGCAATTCACTGTTATGTCGCATTCAAGGCTTTTTGTATTATGTATTCGGCGCATCAGTGTTTTATACACTCGCTCTTCAAGCGTTTTTTCGTTTCACACGTGTTGTCTATTCTCGAAAGATCATTTTTCAACGTTGTGGAACACAACTCATATTGGTTGGACTCGGCTGGTTTTTTTCATTTCTACCTACCGTATTATCAGTACTCTCATCGAGATCCATAGTCTTTTTAGCTTCAGAACACTATTGTTCACTGGACGCTGATGCAAAGCCATTAGCAACATTGATCATATTTTCATGTAACTATACATTGCCCATCTCATTTTTATGTATATTGTACACACGTGTCATTATCTTCATACGTCAATCAACTGAACGTATGGCTCTTGCTGCACGACAACAGATGAAAAGGGATGTAATTGTTTTGCGTCGAATTATCCTAGTTGTCACTATTCTTGTTGTTCTTGGAGCACCGGGACCTATTTTTATCATCATGCGATTTATCAATGGTCAACTTCATCCACTCGCCTATCGCATTACGTGGTTAACAGGTTTGACTGGTATCCTTTTTCTCTCAGTTGCACTCTGCATTATAACACCACAAATGAAAATACTTTTAATGACAATGACAGTACGTCGAATTAGAGTGGCAGCACTAACGACTGGATACCCATTTTAATTTATGTTTTGTTAAAGCTTCTATAAGAGAGTGAAATAACAGACGAACGAATTGAGAATAAAAAATGATTTTGGATCAGTTTGTGTTTAGGTGGTCAGCGAAAGTCACATATTCAAGGTATTATCTGTATTTCGAAAAGAGTAATAGTTTTTCATTTCCAAAAGGGTCAATTCGATATAATAAATCAATTTCTATCCTTCCAAATGAGAGTGTCGTTGAAGTTTTTGTCATGTCCATGCATTGAAGCCTGCTGATCACACAACCAGAGAGCTTAATAGGAAAGACGTTTGACCTACTATCCGTTTCAAAATAGAATGTCCATCACTGGTTTTTGAATAATGTAAGCCAGGAACGAGCTAGAGACCTGCGGTTTTCACCAATCGAAAGAGGAGACCAGGGGACGTCCTTCTCTCCGATAATGTTTAAGAGAAAATCCTTTTAAAACGAATTATTCTCGAAAAAGATGTAAAAGAAGGCATGAAAATGACGAGACGTCTAGATAAAACTTTGATTTGACCTTTGATTTAGATAGAGGGACTTCAAATCTATAGTTCAAGATATAATACGCTTCCTTACTTTTCATTACATTTCCATCGAAACGTCAAGGTATTATGATAAAAAGTGAGAAAGATTAGTAAAAAATTAGCAAAACTCCCTATTATTTGCCCATTTAAATACATGATTCAACTTGCTCAACGTTAGAATGTAATAAGAAAACCGTTTGCATTGTAACTTGAACGATAGGTTTGAAGTCCCTCTATCTAAATCAAAGGTCAAATCAAAGTTTTATCTAGACATCAGGTCATTTTCATGCCTTCTTTTACATCTTTTTCGAGAATAATTCGTTTGAAAAGGATTTTCTCTTAAACATTATCGGAGAGAAGAACGTCCCTCGGTCTCCTCTTTTGATTGGTGAAAACCGCAGGTCTCTAGCTCGTTCTTGGCTTACGTTATTCAAAACACAGTGACGGACATTCTATTTTGAAACGGATAATAGAACTGATGCAAAAGACATCAATATTGAAATTCTTCGACCTGATCTATTTTTTAAATATTCTTCAAAATCAAATTGCTTCAATTTGCTAGAAATAGGAATGCACTAATTCCAAAAATATTATCTACTAAAGGACAACAATCTCTCTAATCGACAGCTTGGAGTCTCCTCTATCCAACACTGAAAACAAGACAATTTTCGTTAGCTTTTTTTGTTCTCAGCATATTTCGAAATGGATGATAAGATGTTTTTCTTATGGCTTGCATTAATAAGATTATACTGAAACAATTTTTAAGTACCCCCCCCCCGCTCAAAATTGAACGCCACCCTATAATAGAAAGGCACCCGGAATAGAAGGCCACCCCGGACCGTTTGATTCTCTGGACATAATATAACGCCACCAAAAAAAGACCGACTCGCTGGGACATAATAGAAGGCCATGCCTTTTTATTCTGGGGGGGGGGGGGTATCGTACATAGACTGTAAATACTCTAAAAGTTTGAATATCTTGATCTGTGCACGCTAACAGTCGCTAATATTTTAAATTTGTTAGTTTGGTGGTGAGAGCTTTCTTTTGATCCGAATATGTCTAGTGTTTTTAACTTACAATACGAACACCTCCATTGTTAGAGTCATTCGCTCGTATTGCATGTAATTGGACAGTTGCTAAAAACTCTGATGGAGATCATGTCGATAATATCAATAACAAATCCAATGATCAAGATGTAACAAACATCCAATGTAATTCAGTAGTGGCATTTGATAATATTCGATTGTGAAGTCATTTGATCTTCATAAATTAATAGATGGTATAGTCTGTTTTTTTAGAGTGTAGCCGGCAACCACGATATTCTATTACATTCTAATAGTATTTTACTCTAGGGTGCGATCATATATCAATAGTAAAGCTCTGAATATGGTTTCGTCACCTAATCTGTGATAACATTACTGCAAGAAGATTCGACCGCTCAGATCGATGATCTGGGACTTCATTAGAACAGATCGAAAAGATACAAGAAAATGATCATATCCGATGGGATACCTCCATAAATCAACGGACTTTCGACGCAATATTTCAACTCGAAAAGTCTCCAAATTTTTTTTTGTGAACTGTTTTTCCCGTTCGAAAAAAACAAAATATTGTTCAGAACTCACTGATAAAATCTGGAAACTTTCCAGTCTGAAATACTCTGCCCAAATCTTATCGATTTTTAATGTTTTCCTATCGAAACCGATCCGTATGTTTCATCTTAGTATTGCATTAATTTTCCTTAATAGTCTTATTGTGCTTATTCACAATGCTCTATTCACTGAAGAAGTGAAAACAATATAAAACATTCTAATCACAAAGAGCAGATTCATCTTTTTATTATTCAATATCACAGTAAACTAATTGAATATTAAATGTTTACCCAAACATGTTAATTTTCATCTTTTATGTACAGTCAAAGGAACAAACAACTGATTTCACATATGAATGCAAGAATTCGTCTAATCATCAATTCATCTTTTATGCATAAACTTCCTTCATAATCATATTAGTTACGGTCCGATGAAATAATAAAGTTCTTTTATATTTATTCAAAATTATTGGAATTAATCTGTTGAAATCATTTAAAGATGTATTTCTTTCGCTTTATGCACAGCTTAGTAACAATGAAAATAAATACATGCGTATTTATTTTTGGATTCATTATCAAGTCTATTCATGTAATCATGTAAAACAGAACAATATTGTATTTGTATATTTTTAATTGATGAAACAATTCTTCTCTCCTCTTTATCATTGATGATCAATAAGATAAATCCTTAAAGGTATATGACATCAGATGCAGTTGAATTGAATGATATTTATCGTGATGCTTTTTTCTTCAGATAAATATATTTCTATTATATGAATCATTATATATTAATTGTCTCATTGTTAGCGCATAAAAAAACAGCAATATGCATTTCTTTGAATTATTTTTGCAAGTAATACATTTATTAGAATGCTTATCACGATAAATCTGTTATTGAACTATATTAAGTAATCTGCCTTAGAAATAATTGTGTTAGACATAATTAGATTAAAAGTTTCTTTCTTTGAATTATTAACTATAGGTTATTGATAAGAAAATGCTTTATAAATTACAACAGCTGTAAAAGTAATCTTTGTACTTTTCTCTTAAAAGCAAAATATTGCAGAAAAAGAACACGATGTTATTGCGCCCAAAATTATAAAAACAACGATCAAGGTTGAAAAGAGCAGTCCGTACCAAAAACACTCAAGGATATAAACGCTTTTTTTGAAATGAATAACTCATCTTGTTTTTCTTTCTTATCTAAATGAAGTAGAGTAATAGAAAAAAAATGAAAAGTTTTTATTTCAAATTGCCAACTATGTCGGTGTTTCGTTTTCTATTTGTTATCATACAGCTTCAATAATAATGATAACGTTCGACCTTTGTAAACAAACATAAAAAATGAAACGAAAAAAAGGAGACGTGCACATCCTTCGGTTGATATTTTTATTCTGTTATATGTATAGACATTTGATAGGTGTAGCTAAGGTTTATAAGGTATTGCTGTTTAAGTCAGCTGTTTTTTCTCTTCATTCTTCATCATGATCATTACCTCTTTTTTTCACTGTTCAAATAACGGGTCGAACGGACGGATAAAAATAGAATAACGAAAAGGCGAAAGAGTAGACGACCAGTCACAACACAGAATAAGAGAAAGGCAGCCCACACTGTCAGCGTATGGTTGGCCGATATTATATGATGACATTCGTGTGCATGTACATACTTACACAGAGGAAAAGAGTGTGTGTGTTGTCTGCTCGATTTTCACGTGAACTTTGGAACGTGTGGCATGACTTGATTATCAATATCCTTCTGTTGGCCTGCTCCACCTTTTTCTTTGCTGTAAGTCATCGAATAAATTGTGACATCCAAGAAGAAGAAGAAAAAGAAGAGAGATAGAAAAGGTAAGCTTATTAATATTTACTAGTTTAGAATGTTTCTTAAGTATAGATAAAAAGGTTTTCTGGTAAACAGTTTATTATGATCTATATTTTATATATTGAATAATACTTCAGTTACTTTTATGATTCATTTATTTTCTCTTCAGAAACATTAACAATGAAAGGAGCTGTCGACTCATTATTATCATTACTCGACGTTGGTACAAGTTTCTGTTATTGGTTATTAGGTCGAGATTTGCTTGAAGAAGAAGTTAAATGTATACAAGAATTATTCATAAAAGGTTTTTTTTTTCTTGTTTATATCGTCATAACTATTTTTATTTTGTTTATTGAAATGTTTTTTAGTTAAAAAATCAGAAGATGAATTAATTCTCCTAAATGAACTTAATTGTTTACCACCAGGCAAAGATTTATTACTTATATGTAATACAAAGAACTATAATTTAGTACAATGGTGTATATTAAACAATTATACGAAAGCACTTACCGTTCTATTAGAATATGGATGTAATCCAACTCGAACAGGTTTATCAGGTTATGATTTACCACTTGCATTAGCGTGTTGTTTAAGTCGTATGGATATGATACAAATATTACTTAATCATGGTGCAAATTCATCTGAAACAACAGTATTATCACCAACAACGTTACAGTATTTATCTGAACAGAATAATAGCAAAAAATATTTAAAATTAATTGATTTACTTAAAAATCGAAATACTATAAACTCTCTCAATATTGTTCTTAATTTTGATGATTTAGCAATGTTTCATTTATTAATGGGTGAAAAAATACGTTCACCATTAATATCAGATTCATCAGCATCATCATATTTTGTACATATGATACAAACAAATGAGGATTCGAATATGAAGATATTTGAAACAGATTTTGATTTATTTCGTGATAAATTACAAATTGAAAATTATGTAGAAAATATAATTCCAATTGATGCTGAAGAATCTATGGAACAACAACAACAACAACAAAATATAATCACTAATGATGATTTGTCAGATTATACTGAACATGGACAATTTTTTTCTTTTGGTGATACTTTTGATGGCGAATTGGCTCCTGTTAATCAATATGATGGTATACAGGTCAGTTGCACATTTTTTTTTGATTCTTTCAACAACAAAAAAAACCTGTATAAACTAATAGAAGAAATGAAAATAACTACTAAAGAGTATTTTAAGTTTTCTTTTTGACACTTCCATTATTTTAACTGCATTGCTTTGAATATATTTGATAAATACAGAGATTAGTAGTTTGGATTATAGGATTAGTTAATAGCTCACTGCATATCAATTTTCGATAAGTAGAATTCCTTCTTTTGATATAGTTTCTTTTGGTCAGATGATACAACAGACTATTGAAACATTATTGGATTTCAGGTTTTTTTTTGTTGCTCTAAGCATGAAAAAAAGATATAAATATATAATAAGTTTTTGAGTATTCTTATTATAAGTGCTGTCTGTTACAAAAAAATTTCTATAAATCTGTAAACTTTTATCTAACAACGTTGATATAATTATATAACATATGTTCTAATGATATATAATATTTAGGCATTATCAGAAAAAGGTAATCAAGTCGAACGAATACATGAAGAAGAAATATGTGCACCTGTAGCAACTACTGATGGTGGTTATTATACAGTTGATGAAAGTTCTGTTAGAATTAAATCACAACCTCTGATAACAACTATTGATCGAGAAAAATTACTTGAACAACATATCGAAGAAAACATACAAAATTTATGTATAAGACAAACCGAACAATTTAAACGTCATGTAAAACAAAATGAAGTTATACGTCGTACAAAAAGTCAACAACAATTAAATAAATTATCTAATAATAGTTATACAATGCATCGTCGTTCATTACCAACTAATGTTAATGATCATATTATCGATCAACCATCAAAACGTTTTCGTTCAACATCATCTCTTTTATCAAATATATCAAATTCAACAAAAAATACAGCTCATCTTTTACATTTATTACATCAAATAATTGAACATGAAGCTGAAACTTTATTGGAATATTTTCTTAAAAAACATCGTGATGAATTTAATGATTATTTTTATACAGCTTCTAATAGTTCAGATATACAATTACAAACCTATGAATTATTATCAAATATTAAATCAGATAAAATTTATAATGCACTTTTATCGTCAAATTGTGCCTATTTTGATCGAGCAACAACAAGTTTATGTGATAGAGAAAATAATACATTAGTTCATTCATTACTTGGACAAAATCCATTGAAATATCAACCAACAGAAATGATTAAAATGGTTGAACGTTATATGGCATGTGGTTTAAAAGAATTTATTAATAGGTTAGTAAAAGAATTTATAGATGTTCAAGTTGAAATATTTATTTATTATTTGAAAATTTAGACCAAATTTATCAAATTATTGTATGATACAAGTTCTTTTATGCAATGAACACTTTCTTAAAATGATATTTTTTCCACGAAGTCCTCAATCATCATCAAACAATTGTAAGTGTACTCTTTATTTTCATAGAGAAAATAATACATTGTACAAGATTATATCGAGAGTCGAGAAAAGAAAACAGAGAATGATTAATTAACTAATTCTTAACTTTCGTTACATGTCATGATGAAATGAGTGATAATATAAGTATAAAACAATCGATTGATATATGACACCCGTAGTCAAATAAGCATTGGTCTGTTTTTAAAACATCTTAAGTGATTTTTCTAATGCAATTAGTAAGAGTTGTCTTCGGTTTTCTATATGACCCTTGATTGTTTTGTCTTATCAGTTGCATGAACTTATAAATTTATTGATCATGTAAATAATTAAATAAAACTTTTAATTTTTAGTAAGTATGAATACTGAATCAATGAAAACATTATTACCAATATACGATCCTGAAATCATTGATAAATGGCGTAATTCATATTTAGTTTTAATTGAAACCTTAATAAAACATGGAGCTCGTATTGATATATCTGCTGGTTCATATCGAAATAGTTTTGATTGTCTTTTATCAACTTTACTTGAACTTGCTAAACGTTTAACATCAATAATAACAACAACATTTGATATGAAATATCTTAAACGTTTAATAATTATTTTAATATCATCATTAAATCAAACAAAAAATCGTTTAATTTCTTTTAAATATAATATTGAACGTTTTATACAACTTCTTTATTTTATACATATAAATAATGATGATCTATCAGATATACTTTCAATTATTCATCTTCTTTTACAATATGAATATCAACCATTAAGATTAAATAAAAATACATTAACACATTTATTTAAGTTATGGATAATCAATCCAAACTTTCTATGTTCAAGTCTTACTGGAAAAGAGTTATTTATGCAGCAATTTTTAGCAATTATTATACGTCGTTTAATTGTATCAAATGATAATACATTGTTATTGTCACCATCACCAACAACAAATTTACCACGTAAATCATTAACATTAAATGAAAATGACCTTTGTTTACAAAATTTATTTTCTATTTTACTTAATTCATTATCAATAAATCAAACATGTCTACAAATACATTCAATATATAAATTAATACTTATATTTATTAATCATACAACATTTGATATTATTAATAATGATCAGTTACAATTACCAATTGTTTATATATGTTTACAAGTAAAAATAACAAATTATTGTTTATTAATACCATTTATTGATCTCTTTTTTATATTACATTCATCATCAATGATTAATAAAACAAAAGATATACTTTTACAAATACCAATGAAACGTTTATCAATTGATTTATATAAATATTTTCTTTCAAATGCAAAACCTAAAAAATCTGTATGTTCACTTCGATATATATTAAGCAAATATCTTTATCAACACTTACAAAAACCATTTATTGATAGTGTAAATCATTTACCAATCGGCGATGCATTAAAAGAACGATTAATTCATTTTCATGATATTTAGAACTGAGAATTGTTCGAATCTCTTGTATTTGTAATTAACCAGTCATTTTTTTTGACTTGGTTTCTATTCTTTTATTGCTCGCCAGGTCAGATTTTTCTTTTGCAAACTGTGATCATATTACATATTGGTTTGACTCTTTTTTTTTCATTCTTATTTTCTTCACTGGCGAGAATTTCTTTTTCTTTTCCTGTATACATTGTTTTTTTCTTTTTCTTTTCTTTTCTACAGTGATTATTCATATTATTTATTCTTTGTTTAATATCATCATTGAATTATGTGTTTCAGGCTATTGCATTATTAGAGAAGCATTCCTGTGTTTTCTTTTTTCATTCTTTGATGTTTAATAGAATGGTAAACAATTTTGTTTTGATCGAGAAAAAGAATAGTATTTGAATGATTAGATGCATATAAATAACATTTGATGAACGAAAGTAAAACGAACAATTTTGCATCATTTGAAAGAGCGATATCAGGAGTATCTATCTGTGCAAGACTCAAGACGTTTGACGGGTTCTTTCACATCTGCTTTTAAACTGACATTTTTTTGCTGTCTGTTTTCATAAAATTTCACAAGAATCTCAACACAAATTATGCACAACAGTGGCTCAAAATTTTATCGTGAATACGAGGTGGTTTCGGCGATATTTGTGTATAACTTTTTTCGTTTTTGTTTTGGAGTTATACGAAAAAAATAGCCACACAATGTGCATGTCAACATGAAATTACCGTTTACTATCGAGATCGCTTGAGAATCTATTGCATGGGGTAAATCTTCATTTTTCACACGCTATAGCCATTCTTGTATAGTGCTGTATGTGATTGAATCACATGTCAGCAAATAGAGGTTTGTGGAAAGTGAAATAGGATCCACGCTTCTGTCAAGCATGCAATTAATTCTCATGGCAGCCAATTATTTGTTTTTTCTTATAGATGATGTTATTTTAAAAAAAGTTATGCAGATAAAAGATTTTTTTGATGTTTTTGAAAATTGTGACAAAGAATGTTCTACTATCAATGGGTGCACGAAAAAATGAAAGGAAATTTGTTAAAAAGTTAGCTGATCGGATCATCTTTCTCACAATTACATCAACGAGATCTTACTAATTCTTACAGTGCGAAGTACACCATTTCTGTAGTCGTTTGCGTACGCATTCAGCCTCCATACTTTGCGTGTTTTTTGTTGTAACAAAGATCCGTATCTTGAGATTATACAAAGATTTTTGAACTATTAATATGACTTTTCCTGCTTCCTCAGTAAGTTTCACTAAACGGTAACTTTGACGATGTGGTCTCTATCTTTATCCAGAAATAATGAAAACTCGACCGAGCAGAATCGACATTAGTAATCGTGTATTGTGAACAATAGTGTTGTTTGGAAAGATATAACCTTTCCTATTTATATATTCGGTGTTCGTTGTTTTTTTTTTTCTAGATTTTTCTACATCAAAAATGAGTATTTTTCTTTTTCGTTGGCAATTAAGAAGAAACTATACCAAGTTGCAATTGGTAATGTGATTGCCAACAACAAATGAAAGAGAAAAAAGCCAACAAAGTCATTTATTTTACGATTATTTTGCCCAACTTTCATTTGCGTTTCATGTGAACCGTGGCTTAAATTTCATCGCATTAGATACCTTGTCTCATATTTTGTGTATTTTCCATTGATTCTTTCGAAACAACCTTTTTTTCTCTTTCTAATAATAATAATGATAAAGTCTCATAGGCTTATCTCCCGTTGGAGCCAGCCACTATTAGGGTTCGCATGGAGCCGGGTTCGTTCCTCTTTTTCTTTTACCAACGGCGGTATCTACACTCCTTCCGTTCAACGCTTCCCCTATTTAAGAAGTTTAGGTTAGCGGTCAATATAGGTATCACGTTATCATGACATCTATGTTAGAATATTTTACTCTACATACTGATTTACAAACGATGAAGTCAGCATGCAATCGAATGAGTCGTTCGAGACAACTAGTCGTTAGTGACTTGTTCAGGGCCATTCCATAGGTGATGATGCTGAGCTTTGAACACAGTACTTTGTGGATACATCTCGGACAAAGTAATCACTCAAGGATGGCGACTTTTTCTCTTTCTAGCAAGAACAAAAACGACACCAAGGACTACGGCAGTTTTTTTTTCTCATTATGCATATAATTGACATGCTGATAATATGAACGAAACAAGAATAAACACAATTCTATTTGTAACTGAGGTAGCAATTAACCAACGGTTTCTACTTGTTGAATTTACTGCCGATCATTAAGAAGTGATTATAGTAAAACAATTGTTCTCGTTGTGTTTAACCCTCAGTAATATATATCGTACCTCATGGTGATTGGAGTAGTGATAATTTGCATGATTGAAGATTGAAAACGATGAAACATCGATGTACCTATCATCAATTTAAAAATGAATGAAGCAATTTAACGAACACTTTACACATTGGTGTAGCAAACAAGAAAAGTTTTATATGAATTATCATCTTAATTACATTTAGAAACGCACCCCAGTTGCTCTCTACAGATATTGCAATAATTTAATAGCAACCTAATTGCAGTTATGAACTTTAATCCTGCCATGTGCGGTATGAGTTTATCGTCACTCACAATCTTGCTAAAGTGACTTTTGATTTATGCTCATTCAAAATATGCTTATAATAAAAAGAAATTTTGCTTCTTATGGTATATTAAGCCCTCTTCTTTCATTGATTCCTACGATTCATATAGAAATAATATTCAAATTTTGCTTGTTCATATGTAAAACTTGCACGATTTGAACACATATCACAATGACAACGAGAAAAATTCCTGTCCAATGCAATAGAACTCTGTTTATTATTGACATATATTAATGAGAAAAACATATCAGGAAACATGCACTTATTTATAACTATTTTTTGCTTGCATGTATGTGAAAGAATCAGATATATTTGAATACAATTGATCAGTAATGAAAAGAATCGCTGGTATTTGTCAAGCTAAAATCGGTAAAGATATTGAAGACATGAATCTTTCTTTCTTCATTCAAAGGTAGCAAAAACAAAACACCATCATTGCACTGCATGTATACAATCATAAAAGCATGCTTTTTTGATGAATTTGACATTTCAATCAACTCGAAAGTTTTAGAATCTCACAAACAACGAGGCCGGTTTGGGTCTCTGAGTGAATATACAAAATGAGTCAATTTTCGAGCTGAATATAAATTACAGCAACATGATCAAGTAAACATAGCAAAATGATATAGACATTATGTCTCGTTTTGAAAATAAATTAAAAATTATAGTTTCATTTAATTCTTTCTGGAGAAAAATGTGAGAACGTGAGGGCAAAAAATACTTTTTATATCCTAGACTAGAGTTTATTGATTTTTCATTTGAAAAGATACAAATACAAACAAGAATAGCAACGCTCTACCTATACTTTTATTGAGTTCATATGACACTAAGCTCTCAATCGAGACAAAAGAGAAAACATCTGCCGAAATAAGAATTCGCCATACATTTTCAAACAAAGGTGTACACTGTTGTTCTATTGCTATTTACAATACTATTTCTCTAGTATCAATTCTATTTATTTCACGAGAAAGCCTGAAACCCAAGTGTAACGGTTCCAGTGGAGTGCATTGTGTGGGTGATATTTAACGCTCCCTTACTATATCTTTTTATCCTATACATCGTCCTTGCTTCTTATTGTTGTTTTGATATCCTTGATATTTGTCCTTATCATTCATTCTCTTTCGTTCTCTCTGATGATTGAGTATTTAAGCGTGTGTTTTACATGTAATCGACGCGATTGTATGATATGAAGGAATAAAATAAAGTGTATATCCATCCACACTAATATCCCTTCTATCAGAAATCGTCACATCAAGTAGACTTAAAAAAAACATACGATTATTGCGACGAGCGCTCGAAAATCTGAAATATATATTTTTTGTTCGTTCTACTCCGATTTCGAGTCTCTCGATAGCCATCGGATTCCAACCACTCAAAAACTATATCGTATCGAACATTCATTTTCGATTCTTCGATACTCACATTAGACACCTCATGAACATGACACAATTCAAAAGCCTACAAGTATTTAACACTTATCATGATTGCACCTTCGCATAAACAAATCAAGAGCTTATGACTGAATTTCATAAATATTTTTAGATCTCTTAAGCATTTATACTGGAATCAATGAGATTCAGACTGAAGCACCAATTAATTTTTGTGGGTTCATTCTGAAAGAAAACTTGAAAACTTATTAAATTAGGATATTCATGTCAATTTAGTTATTGTACTACTTTTTTGCATTGAACAGCTATTTTAAGCAAGACACAAATCATTTGGTGAAACCAGTTCATAGTTCGGATTATGTGTCAAAAAAAAGACTAAAAGACTTTTGAAATTGTATTCTAACTATTACGAAAATTGTTGAACATTGTAAACTAAAAATAACATTTAAAGTGATATTATATTTTTATAACCTTTTGAGATTCTTTGTGTTCACGTGAAATTTCATCATTTGTCAACAATTCAGTCGATGTTCAAAATATGGAAGTTTCTAGCTATACATAACAACATAGCATGATACAGCAAGATAACTTGATTTGTTTGTAAACTGAAGGTCATGAGATGAATATTCTTTGTGTTCATTTCTGTTCTCTGTAGCCAGCCTAGCAAAGATCCAGTCAAGGAATAAGATAACATCTTTGAGAAAAGCAGGTGAAATCTTGTACTATGTAAATAGAAAGTCATTTTTATTTGAGAATTATTGAAATACTGACAGAATCATAATCTTAAAACAGTGAAAAACTGCTCAGGGCTTTTCTAAGATCTTATTCAAAATCCCGTCAAACTATTTGAAGTTCTTTGTTGCAAGGTTCTTTCAGAATTTGCAGGTTCTTATGCCAAGTCACGGTTTTAAATCCTGTCAAGATCTTGAAAGGCGACCCTAAGGATTTGACCGCGGAACGGGATGTATGCAGGTCGGTAGAGGAAGACTTCTTTTATC